AAAACTTCCCTCCATGCACGCCGAAGGTGCACTTCTTCAGGTTCAGCTGAAGGTTGAACTTCTGCATGACGGCGAAGATCTCTCGAAGGTCATCTGTGTGGCTTGATGATTCTTTGCTCTTGACGATCATGTCATCGACGTATGCCTCCATGGTACGTCTCAATACGGCCTGGAAAACTCTTACCACCATTCTTGTGTATGTGGCGCCAGAGTTTTTGAGGCCGAAGGCCATGACTAGGTAGCAAAAGATACCTTCAGGTGTCATGAAGGCTGTCTTTTCCGCATCTTCCTCGTGCATGTAAATTTGGTGATATCCGCAGAATGCGTCAAGGAACGACATGATCTCACAACCCGCCGTTTCATCTACCAATTGATCAATGTTAGGCAGAGGGAAAGGGTCCATAGGGCAGGCTTTGTTGAGGTCCGTGTAGTCCACACACACCCGGAAGGTGGGTGGCTTCTGCGCGATGACGACATTGGCTAACCACGAGGGGTATTTCACCTCCCGGATATGTTTGATGGCGAGGAGCATGGTGTCCTCCTCCTTTACCAATCTCTTCTTCTGCTTGACCGGTATCACCGAAGGGTCCACCGCCAGACGGTGAGTGATTACCCTTCGGTGAATTCCCGGCATGTCCTCCGGCCCCCATGCAAAAACGACGGCGTAGGCGTGGAGGGCCTCGGTGATGCTGGTCATCAATTCTTCAGGAAGCTTGGATCCTATATTCATGACTCTTTCCGGCTTGGCTGGATTGAGCGTGAAGTCTTCCACCTCTTCCACTGGTTCAACCCTCGGCCTTTCCTATTCACCTTTTACTGTTCTGGTGATGGTATCCACGTAGAGCTCGGTCTTACTAACCTTCTTTGTTATCTGGAGGTAACAGGCGCGCGAAAGTTTTTGTTCCCCCTCGAGTATCTGACGCCTCCGGCAGCTGGGAACTTCAGGCATAGGTGCCTCATGGAGATTACAGCTTCCAAATCCTCTAGAGTGGGGCGGCCGAGGATAATGTTATGAGCACAGTCGAGGTTGACGAAGATGAACTCCACCTCGAGCTTGGCTCTATGGGAGCCGTCGTCGAAGAGAACCGGGAGGGATATTACCCCTTCGGAATCAATAGTGTCCCCGGTGAAGCCGGATATGGGGGGTCCGGATGGGCCGAAGGGATTCCCGCTTCAGATGCAGCTCCTTAAATGTGCTGAGGTACATCACGTTGACGGAGTTGCCGGTGTCAACGTAAGTTCTGTGGATGATGGTATTGTTGATCTCACTTTGGATCACGAGCGTGTCCCTGTGAGGAAAAGACCCTAGGGGAGATCAGCGTTCGTGAACACTATGGGCTCCTCCCTCGACCGCTTAGCGGGGGCATGTGATTGACTTCCCCTACGTAAAGTGATTGAGCCCACTTCTTCCTTTGGCTCGCGGAGTCTCCTCCCGTGTTGCCACCGGTGATCATATGGATGTGGCGCTTCTTTTCTTGAGGATGCTGGTACCCCTCTTCCTCGTTGAGGTTCCCAATCTCCCGCTTCTTGCCCTTCGGATCACCGAGGGGAATGGTGTTCGGGTTGATCCAAGCATTTGCTTTTGTAGGGGGTCCTTGATGAGGGGGGGGGCTAACGAACTGGAAAAAATGGCCCCTCTCTACCAGTCTCTCGATGGCTGCCTTCAGCTGGTGGCAGTCATCGGTCCGATGTCCTGGGTGGCGGTGGAAACGACAATAAGGTTCATTTGGATTGATGGAATACACCTCCTGAGGTGCCCTGGAATCTCGCTCCACTAGACCCCTTTCCTCGGCGTAGTCTAGAATGACGCTAATGGGATGAGTCAGGGGGTTCGAGGGTGTTCTAGGAGCGTTGGCTGTGCCCAGGCCCTCGAGTTGTTCTTGTAACCTCCCCAGGGATTGGCTTGGCCATGCTAGGGTCGATCACTGAAGGGAGCTTGTGGCTTCGCCGGATGAGGTGGAGCCCCCGGATTCCGTTGGTTCTTCCCTTCTGGTTTGTGGGGTTGTTCAGGGTTTCGACGATATTTGTCTACCTCTTCAGCTTCGGCATACCTGTCTCCCCTTTGAAGGGCCCTTATGTAGTCATGGGGTGGTTCGGTGATAAGGCTCCTCAAGAAGTTCCTAGAACGGAGGACCGTCTGCAAGAGAGCCATCAAGGTCCTGTCGTCGGCACCGTCGACTTTGTCTGTCTCTTGCCTCTAACGTTCCAAGAAATCCCGGAGGGTCTCCTCCTTCTGTTGCCTTATTGTTAGTAAGTGGGAGAAATGCTTCTTTGACCGGTGCCTTCCCGCGAATTGGGTTAGGAAACGCTGCACGAGTTCCTGCCAAGAGTCAATATTCCCTTCGGGCAATTGATTGAACCATTCGTACGCTGGTCCTTCCAAGGTGGAGAGGAACCAACGGCACAAATACTCATCTGAGGCCCCCATCGTCATCATGCTATTTTAGTACCTGCTATAGTGCTCCTGGGGATCAGTCTTCCCTTCATATGGCTTGATGGTCTGCCCCCAGTATTTTCTCGGGATCTGAGCCGCCAATACCCTTGGGGTAAAAGGCATCCTCATGCGAAATTGGATGACTAGTTCCCCGGAGCCCTCAGCTAGTTTCTTCTGCATTTCGTCCACCTTGGCCAACATGGCGGCGTATTTGGGGTCCGCCTGTGAGGCGGAAGCCATCGTTTGGGCCTGACGAACCTCCATCTCGTCGAGCCGGCGTTGGAGAGCCTCAATAATCTCGTCCATGTGGTCCTTGGGAGCGCCTCCACCCCGAGCGTTTGTACGCGGGCTGAGTGAGCCTGGTTGATCTTGTGGCTTGCGTCATGAGCATGTAGCAGTCCCTTGCCCTTGTCCCGAGGGGGGTGTCTCTCATCTACCCTCGAGACAGATCCTCCGCTCTCTTGAGGCCTTTGGAACACTTTACCATCGAGGCGGTCTTGGACCCCTCGGTGATCACGTGCTCCTCCGAGCCTGTCACGGGCAGAGATCCGGGGCTTATCTTTGTTCGCGCCGCGTTGGTTCCGGGACTGGACCTCCTGGGACGCAGTGTCCTAAGCAATGACCCCCTTGTTGTTCCTGATTCTTGGAACCGAGGTAACGAAGGGGGGCGAAGGTGGTGGGAGAGGAACGACGTTCTCCCCGATCTGCGCCTAGGGCGGAACCAATGCACCGAAGGCGCCCGGGTTCTGGGTGAGCGTGTGAATGAAGGCATAGAACACCGACTGTACATCGATAGTCAGGACCGGAGGGCTAACTTGGTTTTCACTCCGGTCCTTCCTACGGGTTTCGAGGCTGACACGAGCGTCAGGAGCATTCTTCTGGAGCTGAAAGCGCAGGTCAGCGGCGACCTGCTCCATTTCAGCGAGGGCCCCTCCTTCGAGGGCCTTGTTGGAGGCTTCGGTGGTGTTAACCTCACCGAGGCCCAGGTTCTTGTCTTCTAGAGTCTTAGATTGACCTCGAGTTCTTCCCATTCTGATGAGTGTTTTGTTTTTCGGAGGGGAAGGTTTCTTACATGATTGTTCGAGCCTCTCAAAGAATGATGGATATTGTACCCGGGGGGTACCTTATCCGAGGGATATTATAGGAAATATCAAGGGAGAGGTCAGAGCAACAAGTAAGAGAGAGAGAGTAGGTGTATATTAAACGAGCTCGATCTGGGATCTGGATCCTTTACAGTGAAGAAGGGGCTAGCTATTTATAGCTTCCATAAATGCGGCGTAATTAATGAAGGTACACGTGGCAAGTAGCCAGTGATGGAGAGTCAACTCAACTAGACACAACATGTGGCACCGGCATAGCATGTGGTACCGCATTTAATGCGGTGGTTGGACGTGACACCGCATTCAATGCGGTGATTCAGAGCATGTGGAGAGGAGATCCTGTCGAGTGGAGTGCCCTCGGCTACATGCGGCCAGGGGCTGCATGTGCCGAAAGCCATGTTGCCATTTGGGCCTTGGTGGCATGTTGGGGACGTACGTAGCTGAAGGGGACCTCTTGTGCTAAAGGACGTACATCCCTTGAGGGCCGTACATAGCTGGAGAGGACATCATCTGCAGGAGGACGTACGTCCCCTGGGGGCCGTACGTAGTTGGGGAGGACATCATGTGCAGGAGGACGTACGTCCCATGGGGGCCGTACGTAGCTCAGACTCTTCATGTATTAGAGGTCGTACGTACCCCGGGCCCTCCATGTGTTAGAGGCCGTACGTCCCCAAGGGTCTTCATGTGACGAGGAGTGGAGGCCGTACGTCCCCGGATTCCTTTATGTGTGGAGGACATACGTCTTGTAAGGCCTTCATGTGACGAGAGACGTACGTCCCCAGGAGACGTACGTCTGCTGGGCCTTGTTCGCTGTCCAGAGTCTTGCTTGCTGCATTTGGGGCCGCTTGGGCTTGTTGGGCCTGATTGCAGTAGTGGAAGTATGTGGGCCGGGGGTTCATGAGCCATATACTCCATCAATTAATTATGCGCAAAATCCCTTATATGAACAAATTCAATTGTCAAATAAAACAAAATTGATTAGCATTTTGTATGATTTAGAGGTTTTGACATATTTACTTGCATATTCAATCGGAATATTAGGAAAAATGATTTCAAAATCATTACATTTATTCATAGAAGAGATTTTGTGCATGATTAATTAAAACACAAGAGAGTTTGATGTATTTTTCAAATCACATGGGGCTAATATATTGAATTTCTGTATGACGAGGGGTTTGGTGCATTAAACCCTTTACAAATTTCGTAGTCATGCATAACTCCCTAAATTCTTCGGCCGTACAATCGTTTAATTATTACTCCCTCCGTCCCGCAAAGAAGTTCGTAGTTTGACTTACACACATATTTATGTAAGGTAGAGTTTTGTTTTGACTTTCCAAGTATACCTTTACTTTATGTCAAATAAAACAAAAAATGAGTAAAAAGTAAGGATATTTGTGACTTTTTACTGAAGTGAGAACTTAGTATTATAAAGTATACAGTCGAATTCACATGATCCAACTGGATATAAGGGTAGGCTTACTCTGGTGATTGAAACCCCAATGCGTTGAGGACCTTTACCCTTATTGATCAGCCTTTACCGATTCTTTTCCTGCACCTTGCATATCACCGGTCATCTCTTCTTGGTATTTGCAATTTCCTTTGCCTGACGATTATATAAGTAATTACAATATGCATACGTTTAGGCAGAATTTTTATTTCGTAGATATCTGTACGTTTAAGTAATTTATTGTGCTTAATGTCTAATGTCAGATGATAATCTGGTATTGCGTTCAGAAATATCTGCTTCTTTTGCGGTAATGTGAGTAGAATTGTGTAGCTACATACATCAGCCATGGATTCTCCTTTCTTTGAGGGTAATCAAACCACTGTGTCTTCTTTTTTCCTCTAGTTTTGGCTTGTGATTTCATAAATGAAGTTGATAAAAATTTGGTTGATCCGTGCAAATTTGGACTTTTTCCATCAGTAATGGATCATGGAAACCTTCCCAATCCTCGATAGATAGTGAATCAATCACCGGCTCAATTTTCAGATTTCTTAGACAACAGCAAAATGCGATTTCTATCTTAGTTTTGAGCATTAATTTACTATATTTCTTTTTTCGTTTTGTTTTGTCCTGTTAATTGTTGGGTTTCTTAGTGCGTACCTACTCTTGTTTGGGAATTCATTATCAGTGTAGAATCAATATACATTAATGAGTAGCCATATTATGTGCATGTTGCAATTTATGGGTGTGCAGATTTGCTTCTTGTCACTTTAGAGCAATCCAATCTTCACACTGGACGGTTAGGGTAAGGCCCATTTGGAAATCTGTGCCATCAGAGATTGAATGGCGGCTTGGGGGAAGTTGATTGCCCTCCTGGTTGGAACTCTGTGTTTGTTAGGGTGGAGCGTTACTGTAATTTCTCAATTATGCTAATCTCTTGGGGCTGTGTTTTTCCTCTCTTTTTTGATATTTGAAATCCCATTGAAGTTCACTGAAGCTCACTGTGATGTGGTTTTCAACCATACATAATCACCACCTTTTCCCTCAAAGTAAGGACATGGGCGGAGGAAGGCTTCTGAAAAGTTTTTCCAAGGAACATAGGAATCCTCATTTCAGAGAATAAAAAAATTATCTCACACACCATCAAAGGGTTTTTTTGCCAAATCCCCGGCATTCCCTGAATCCTTTCAAAAACCATTCTGCATCCCATTTTTTTGTTGTTTTAAGGAGTGAAGCACAAATTAAGAAATCACGTAAGAATAATCAATTTCCCTGATTTATAGTCCCATGATTCTCTTCCATGTTAGTAAATTTTAGAAACTCTTTCTCTCAAAGCTTGTCCTTTTTTTCTTAATCTGAAGGTATGGAACACTTGAGTATGTTGTGATCTCGAGGAGTAATGTAACCAATCTTCTTCATTGCAATTCACACCTTGTGGTTACTACACATTGAAAAAAAACTGATCATATAGGAGGGGAATCTGGGGAAGAAAAGTGGAAACTATATATATCTTGAATCCCTAAAATGACAATGATATCTCTCAAAAAGTAATTTGTTTTCTTCTGATTTCATCTTGGGTGCAGATATCTTGGATCCATCAAAGTGCAGTAAGTTGAGAATGGAGGAGAAGCGGGAACTTGTTTACAAACTATCAAACATGCCAACCTTTTCTCCTGAAATGCTACAATCTTGGAGTCGTCAAGATATCTTGGAGATACTCTGTGCAGAAATGGGAAAAGAAAGGAAATATACTGGCCTCACAAAGTTAAAAATCATAGAGAGCCTTATAAAGATTGTCGCCGAGAAGAAGAGGAAGAATTTGCCCCTAGAAAATGGAATTTCTAGCAGTAGTAATTCAGAAAAGAACCAGGGGAGTTTTAAAAGGCAGAGAAAACCCGATCTCTTCCATGATGCTACAAGTAATGTTTTCAGTGACTTGGGGGTTAATGATGTCATACACTGCAAAAATCTGGCTTGCCGAGCTAGATTAAAGAGTGAAGACTCATTCTGTAAGAGGTGTTCATGTTGTGTTTGCCAGGAATATGACGATAACAAGGATCCTAGCTTGTGGTTATTTTGCAATTCAGACCCGCCTTTCGAGCATTGGGGGGAGTCTTGTGGGATGTCATGCCACCTTGAGTGTGCTATTAGACATGAAAGATCTGGAATTGTTTTCAATGATAAACAAGACAGAGGAGGAGGGATCAATGGAAGCTTTAATTGTGTGTCTTGTGGAAAAACTAATGATCTTCTCGGGTATTTCTTGTTACCAAAGCCGTATATTATTTTCTGTTTTTTCCTTACCTCTCTTTTCTTCTTCTGAAGATACTTTTCATTTTGGGAATTCAAGATATAATTTCCATTTTTCTTTCCCAATTGCCCTACTTAAACTTTTTAGATTAAATGGGATTCATAAATGGAAGATGAGTATAGGAAAGGAGAAAACATATATTGCATTGCTTCTTGAGATCACAAAATACCCACATCCTGAGATGAAAAGCACAACATTTTAGAGAAGTAATGACAGTTCCCTAGAATTATTAAGTAAAAGGAGAATCTCGTTACGCAACGAGGTGTAACTGTGTAAGCCTCTATTTTAGGTACATTTATATACTCCGTCCGTCCCTTAAAACTTAGCATAAATATTTAAAATATATATACTTAAGTTAGACGAGAAGTTCTATTAAAATCACAAAAGCCGAATTTAAATCATCATAATTTTCATTTACCCCAGTGCCGCAAAGGCTCCCACCTACGGTGGGGTAAGGGGGGGTCGGATGTACGCAGTCTTACCCCTGTACTAAAGCACAGAGAGACTGTTTCCGGATGACCCATAGTGAAAATCGCGTCCAAAATTGCATGGACTGACTGCTGCTCCATAACAAAGAAGCGCAGACAGTTTAACAAAAAAGCCGAATTTAGATTTGATAAAAAAATGATACTCGAAATCAGAGAACAAAACTGAATTACTTTGACAGTTTGACCACATGAATAGTAAACTGGCAAAGGTGATATGAAGCAAAATTTGGGCTTGGAAGAACAGGGGCAGAAGCCTCCGTGGGTTTACTGAAGGCGGGGACGGGCTGGTTGCGGGATGCTTAATTAATATTTATTCATTTTAATTATCCTGATTTGTTTCCTATTATGAGTTAATTAGGATCTCTATTATTTGTTTCCTATTTAAAGTTGATTAGGATCTCTGTTATTCTATTTCCTAGTTGGAGTTGATTAGGATCTTTATTATTTTGTTTCCTAGTTGGAGTTGATTAGGATTTCTAGGATTTTGTTTCCTAGCTTAAGAATTAGTAGATGGGTATTTAAACCCCTCGTTAGGATTCATTCATGCGCATCTTGGAATAAAAGTTGGTTTTAGCCTTTTGGCTCTAGGCAACGGTATTTTTATCGTTGATTATCTGGGCAACGGTATTTTTATCGTTGATTATCTGGGCAACGGTTTACCCCGTTGATTTTTATTTTTCTGCTACACAACAAAAGGTTAATAGGATGGAGGGAGCACAATAACAATTATTTTGAATTTAATAAAATAGTCATTAGTAATAAACCGATTGCGTAGTCAAATAGAACTAAAATAAGATTTTAATTCTAATTTCTATCATGATAGGAAGTTCAACCATTACTTAGTATCAAACATTCCCTAATCCAAAACCACAAAAAAAGCAGCATAGTGGAAAAAATGGTTCAAAAAAACATAATCAAGAGAAAAATATGGCAAGTAAAAATAGTTAATAAAGGGTAAACTGTCAAATATACCCTTGCATGATAGCAAAAAAGGCAGTTATGGCCTCCTACTATAGAATCACCTAATCTCACCCCCAAACATAAAAAAACATCCAGAACTGTGTTTTAGCAGGTCACCAACTGGTTAACCCTGTTAGGTGCTTATGTGGCCGCTAGGGGTGGGCATGAAAAACCGTAATCGCTTAACCGTGGTAAATAACCAAAAAACCGGTGTTTTTTTTGTTAACCATACCGTATTTTTAAAGATTTGCGGTACGGTTAATCAACCGAAAGAATAAAGCGGTTCACGGTACGGTTACGGTTTTGAAATTAAATACCGTCGGTTAACCGATAGTGCAAAGTTAAGATATTATTCCAAATTCATATCACAATAAGCCTTTAGCCGAAATTGTTTTCCCCATTTACTGGCAAATAAATACAAAACCATTGTCCCAGAGGTTAATTGGCTGTGCGTGTAAATGCATAAATTTATAATTGAAAACTAACCGACTACCTTTATCACATTTTACATGAGTCAGGTAGTTGTTATCTACCAGGATTATCTACAAGAATTGCTAAATTAATTAATCATTGAAAATAAATACTCCGTATTAAATTTATTAATTCCATATGTATGCCCATGCTCTGTTTAGAATAAAAGAGAAAAGAATTCTCGATTTGACACGAAAGAAAAGAATAAGAGCAAAAAAAGAAATTGACATACGGGAGTCCAGAAGTAAGTGCACTGGTTTCTTGTATTTACGGGACTACGGGAGGACTGCTACCAAGTTTGCTTCTTCTCGCGGATGGTTTTTTGGTTAACCGATTAATGGTTAACCTACATCACGGTTAAATATTACTCGGTTACCATCATTACGGTACGGTTAAATATATTATAAATATATAAACCGGAATCTCGGTTAACCATAAATTGGTTAACCAAAATACGGTTAACCAACCATGCCCACCCCTAATGGCCGCCCATGTGGCATTTATTATTTCTTTTGTAGTCAACCTTTTCATCCATTTCCACTTCATCATAGATTTCAAAGTTACAGCTGTAAGATAAGAATAGCAGCAATGTTTTCCTCATATCGACTAAACATGAATGATTCAAGTACCCCAGTTGTCAAATAGTTTCTTCAAAATCAAGAAAATTTTATAACTGGAATCGCTCCTCTAAATCTTACCATGCGCAAAAACCCAAAAATAAATTGCTACCCATCTAATGTTTGTAAAGCACACAGCGCTGAAGTGGTAAAAACTGTTTCATCGGCTTACTTATCCATTGTGTTGTCTCGCTGTTGCTGCTACCCCACTGCAGGCATTGCTTGGATTCAAAGGACACAGTACGAGAGATTCAAAGATGAACGAGAAAATTCAAATTAAGAAATTAAAGAAAAAGATTGAAAGAGAGGAAGAGACAAGATGCATTGTCCCAGATCCATTAGTCCGCCAAATTGATAGAAGAAGAAGAGGCACAGCAGAAGAAGAATTGTGAAGGAGAAGCTCGGATTTGTTGACCATTGGCCTGCTCTCCATCTGCGCAAAGGAGAAACTCAGCTTGCTACGAAGATTAAGAAACATATATGACTGTACTGAGGAGGAAGACAAAAGAAAATAGGGATGTCATTGACATTCAAAAGAAAATCTTAAAAGTATTAAAAATAATGCCACATGGGCATCCAGGTAAGCTCGTAACTGGTAAACCAGAATGTGACTGTTTAAACGGCTGATTTGAGCTGGCCCGCTCGCCATCCGCGCAAAGGAGAAGCTCGACTTGCAACGAAGAAGAAGAAACATATATGACTGTACCGAGGAGGAAGATGAAAGAAATAGGAATGAAATTGACATTTGAAAGAAAATATAAAAAGAATTAAAAATAATTCCACATGGACATCCAGGTAAGCTTGTAATCGGGAAACCTAAATGTGACTATTTAAGCAGATGCTTTGAGCGTTTTTTAAACTTGGTGGAGTGATTTTGGATTACGAGAATTGGTGTTTATGATATTGGTCAAGACCTAATTGACCTAAAAAGAGAAGAGAGAATGGAGGAGTCGAATAAGATACATTTATGCTTCAGCTAGGAGATCTCGAATAGGCATATTGGAGAAGTCACACAATTGCAGAGGAGAAATCGTGTACGGCTCAATGGTAAAGTTAACTTTATAGAAATTAAACTTTGTTCATAAAGTTTAAATAGCAGTCTGAAATCAAGTCATCCTTATATTATAAGCCTTATCAACACCACAGACACTTTGCAACGAGACATGTCTCATACGCATGCCAAAACCGCGTAAGCCTCACGGATTCTGACATTGGGTATAGCGTCTAGGCACAATAGTCCTAGAGGTGATGATGTATGCCTCAAGATGCAATCGCATTGCTCAATTTTGAAATTGATCTTAGATTCTTAGTTTATTCTTTCTCATCCTTTAATTCATCTTAGTTTTATTTCTTGAAGGCTCACCAGATAGGTTATCTATCAATTCATGATATTAAATATGAAAACTACCTATTCTCGATTGACATTATCAATTTATTAAGATTAAGAAAATCATGAAGTTTCTTTTATTATTTTTTCATCATTTTATGATATTTTTCATTATCTTGTGTTATTGTTATCTTATATTTATTTATCTTTATTTTATTCATTTTATCTTACTTTTTCTTTCTTCTCTTTTTTGTCCATCTTCTCTTTTTGGCATCGATATCATAGACCGATTCATGTTAGCCGACCCCAAATTCTTTTGGGATTAAGGCTTGGGTGTTGTTGTATGATTTTTTTCATTTAAAAATTATCAGTATACACTAGTATGATTTAAAATATTAATCTAAGATTTAAAGAAGAGTGTTTTTTCAATCTTATATTATTCTCAGGTTACTTTTTATTGAAAGTTCCGTCACGGATTATGTATGAAGCATAAATGTAATTTTTTTAAAATAGTATCAGAATTCTTTTAGAAGTCTTGAGTTGATAGTTTCAATCATCCATGTCCTAAATTGTCAGCATCAGTCTTTGGGATCTTGAATTGATGGAAAAAAAATTACATTATCTTTTGTATCCTGAATCAATAAAACCCTGTTTGTAAATTGGATGTTACCATCTTTGTCAATTGACCTGTTTCTTGCAGTTCTTTGAGAAAACAACTGGTGACAGCAAGAGATACCAGACGGGTAGACATATTGTGCTATAGGATTTCTCTAAGCCAAAGAATTCTCGGGGAGGCCAAAAGATGTAATGAGCTATGCACTGTTATGGATGAAGCAGTAAAAAGGCTTGAGGAAGAACTGGGCCCTTTATCCGGTTCTCCAGTGAAGACCGCAAGGGGCATCGTGAACCGGCTTTCTTCTGGTCCAGAGGTTCAGAGACTTTGTGGTTTGGCAGTTGAATATTTGGATTCTGTGCTCTCAAAGAGAGTACTCAAAGTTCCAGCTGGTCCTACTATGCAAGGTGATTTCATTCAAACATTTCCTAACAAAACAATAGATTAAGGTGTCGTTCGGTAATGTTTTTTATCAACAGGGGAAAACGAGTTTGAAACTAGTGCTTCTTTTAATCGTTTTCAAAAACATGTTATTTATTTTGACTGTTTACAAGGGAATAAAAGATACAGGGGGAAAACGTTATGTTGAAAGCGAAGTGCAAAAATAGGACTCCAATGTTTTATAGAACTAAATATGTACTAATATGACAAAATTACCCGTAATGAAAAAATAAAAAATTCCCAGACTCCCAGCCCTCCATCGATGCCCTGGTTTCGACTTTCGATGATGCTAGCTATGCGAGAAGCGTAGGCCTCATCCACCCTCCAGTAAGCCAGCCACCGCTGCTGTCCTTCACTGTCGCCGCCGTCATGCTCTGAAGGAGCCGTCACTTCTTGGCAACTCCCTGCAACCTCCAACTTGAATAATGACATGATAATGACATTTTTGAATAGAAACAAGGCATTTTCAGATTGTGAAACCATATAATTTTTAGATGAACAGTAAAGGCATTTTCAGATTCTCATTCGTAGAAATTAATGTAATAATCAGATTAATCTAAAATACGAGAAGAAAATAAAAAATGAAAGTCATAAACAATATTGCTTTTCATACATTTGGTGTCATAAAAATGACATCATTTGGAAACATGTAAAAAAGTATGGCATTACAAATACTATGATTTCAAAGTGAGATTGCCATAGTACTGCCATAAAAGTGGCATTTTTTCAAATTATCAATAACTATGACATTTTCAGATTAGAAATTGACATTTTTCTGAAAATTAGTAGTTAGGCTATTCTATGATTCAAAATCAATAAAATTGATAATTAAATAAAAATTCAAATTCAGATATATATATATATATATATATATATATATGCGATCAGTTCTTTGTTGAAATCTAACTCTTCATCTGAAATTTTCAAATTCAAATTTTTATTTAGAATCTCATTGATAAAAAATAAAAATAAAAATAAAGGAGAGGACCAAGAACAAGATGAGAAGAAGAAGAAGAATAAGAAGAAGAAGAAGAAGATGATGATGATGATGATGAGGAGGAGGAGGAGGAGGAGGAGGAGGAGGAGGAGGAAAAAGACCTACCTGGCTTCGCTGGAGAAATTGCAAAAGAGGTGGTGTCGACAATTGTGCGGCTATGGTAGATGGCGGAACTGTAGTCCATGGTAGATGGAGATCAATCGGGGTGGAGAAATCGCATGTTATGATCGATTGTAGAAGTCAGAGGAGAAGAGTCGACTTCTTCTGGGTCTGGGGTTTAATTAGATGAGAGGTAAAACTGTAATTTGGAGTCCTATTTGGGGAATAATAAACTTAATGTCCTATTTAGGAACTTAGGCAATGTTTTAGTCCTATTTAGGGCAATTTCATGTAGAAATTTGCTTACACCATTCTTCGTGTTAAGACATTCCACGTTAGAATAAATAAATCAACATATAACACCTCTAGCCAATTTCTTTATTGGGTTTATCTTTTGGGATCTCAAGTCTTAAAATGGTATTGGGGTATATTAAGCTCAAAATATGAAAAGCCAATTGATTACAATTGGTACCTTAATACAACAGGATATTTTTTTGCCACTGTAGGCATGTTTGTGAATATACAATATACCGATCTCCATTTGAGACAAAAGAAAGATGGGGACTGAGAACCTTCTAATGTTGCAGATTCTAATTGGACGGCTTCAAAGCTAATCAGATTGGAAGACGTTTCTGCCACATTTGTCACCGTCATCCTTACCTGTGAAGAGTCAAGGTTAGGAAACACTGTTGGTTACACTATGTGGCACCGCAAAGCAGATGACTCAGACTATCCCGTGGATCCGACGTGCACATTGCTGGGACCAACGACCAGGTTTGTAATGTCTGGGCTGATTCCCAACACGGAGTATCTTCTGAAATTGGTCTTCCCTGCAGACAGTAAAAGAGACTTGGGAATATGTGAGCTTCGGTTTCGGACAAGAGAAGAAGCAGCAGCGTCAGTAAATGATGTTCCGAACCTGAATACTCAGAATTCGGAAGAAGCCCATGTAAGAAGCTCGGACCTGCAAAGAAACAACCCCCCTCAAGGAGACAATATTAGTGTTCCTTGTTACACTGATGATAGTAATAATGATGGCCACATCACTTGTATGGATGTATTATGCTGCAATGATGAAGAAAAAAGCGTGGAAGAAACTGCAGCTACCACCCAAATAGAAGATGATGATGATGATGATGATGATGATGATGATGACGACGATGACGATGAAGAAGAAGAAGAAGCAACAAGCACCGACAATGGGGGATCGAACACGGCCCCCTCGGGGCTGGCCATTACACCGCCTTACAAGAGGGAGAGTAGATCCCAACCGGGTGAGTCCAGCAGAAAGGAGGAGGGGAATGCACAGGTTGGGACAAGCTCCAAGAAGAAGAGAGAGAGAGGGGACGAAAGAGAGGAAGAGTGGGAAGATGACGTCCTCAGGGAGGGAGACAAGGGTTTCGAGTACTATGTGAAGGTAATCAGATGGTTGGAGTGCAACGGCCGTATCGGGACGGGATTTAGGGAGAAGTTCTTGACTTGGTACAGTCTGAGAGCGACCCCTCAAGAGGTCCGCGTCGTGAAGACGTTTGTGGATACTCTGATTGAAGATCCCGAGTCACTGGCCGCTCAATTGCTCCACAGTTTCTCGGATCTCGTGTCCAAGTGTAGCAGCATCAGCAACTCTTCTTCTCTTGTCCCATCCGGGTTTTGCCTTAGGCTTTGGCATTGAAATCGCTCACTGCTGTTGTTAGCCACTCCATGCGTGCTCACTCTTGCTCTATGTCGATTTAGTTAGGATATTATTATTATTATTATTGTTGTTGTTGTTGTTGTTGTTGTTATTAATATTATTATTATTATTATTATTATTACAATTATTGATTTGGGTAGTAATTGGTCACATAGTCTCTATTAACTAACTATTTGAAACAATAAATATCGTTACTCCGCAATCCGTATCACTAATAACTTAACTTCTATATCAGTATCAATATTGTTGCTAAAGTTGTGATACTCAGTACTTTCGGATGTATATATAAAAAGTGTGATATTCGTCACACTAAAAGATACCCATCATTGGGGGTGGACTGGTCCGGTTCTGACCGGCCCGGACCGCCACTGCGCGCTACCGGCCCAGCCCGGCTAACAAGGTTCGGGACCGGGCTTTGAGGCCTGAACCGGGGTAGGGCTGGTGGGCTACGGGTCCACGAAAACGTTGACCGGTCCGGCCGGTCCCGTCCAACGGTCACATTTGAAAAAAAATAAAAGCTTTAATAATGGCTTTGTGGGGGGTGTCCAAGGACTCCAAACGACTCCATAGCCGTTGGAGACTCCTAGGGCGGGTTTGGGGGGTGGGGGTGGGGGTGGAGGGTAAAAAAAATTATAAATACTCCTAATTTCTGAATATTTTTCTATACCTATTCTCTAAATCTTCCTACTCTCTAATACTCTTTAATCATCTCCAATTTTCCGTCTTCATCTTCTATTCTTCTCCAATTCTCTAATTCTATTTAAATTTAAATTAGTTATACAATTATTATATCTACTTATATATTTATTATCTACTTGTAAATACATATATTATATCTACTTATATTTATTATCTACTTAATATCTACTTATAAATACATATATTATGTCTACTTATATTTATTATCTACTTATTATCTACTTATACATTTATTAAATACTTATAAATACATATACTTATTATATTTACTTATATTTACATATTATATCTAATTAATATATTAAGTATATATATTAAAGTATTAAATATAAGTGTACTACTCATCTTATAGTGGTATACTTATGATAAGAGATCAAATACAAACCATGCTTAAATTACTAACCTACAAACTCAATAATATGCAACACTTTGAATTTTAATATGCAATACAAATAATGTAAAGATGCACACTGTGAATTTCAATATGCAATACAAATAATATGCAACACTTTGAACTTCAATATGCTATACAAATAATATGCAACGCTTTAAACTTCAATATGCAATACAAATAATGTAAAGATGCACAGTTTGTGACAGTTTGTAGGTTAGCATGGGAGGACTAGTTTGTATGTGATCTCATCCCGTATACTTATATATTATATATTATAAACATTATATTATATATTAGTTATACAATTATTATATCTGCACGGTTGAACTGAGGTATACTGAAAAGGGAAAAATCTCGGATCACGGTTAGGGTTCGTACGTCGATGGCCGCCACCATCCCTGTGGTGGTGCCACCACAGCCGCTGGACAACATCTGGAAGAAGAAGTCCTTTGTTGATGTGCTGACTGATAGCCAAGTGCCCCTTTCGGTCAAGACGCCAGGACGACACAAAGGTATGCCAGCCATACACTTCCCGGAAGAGGAGAAACAACCTTGCAGCACGTCATAAACGATCCTTAGTTGGCTATTTTTTCAAAGGAAGGCCTCATCTATCTGTTATTCGCAAGGCGTTTGAAGTTATTGGATTTGCAGGGGCTTTTCATTTAGGAGTGCTTGATCCTAAACATATCTTAATTAGGTTTGAATCAGATGATGATTTTTATAGATGTTGGAACAGGCAATCCTGGAATATTAGAGGATTCGTGATGCGAGTTACTAGATGGACGCCTGATTTCCGGCTAAACGTTGAATCACCTCTAGTTCCGGTATGGGTTGGACTAGAAGGTTTACCTGTCCATCTACATGATAAAAGAGCTCTTTTTGACATTCTCAGTTTAATTGGTAAGCCTGTCAAAATTGATTCAGCTACTGCTAGTTTATCCAGGCCATCTATTGCACGTGTGTGTGTAGAGATTGATCTTACACAAGAAATGCCTAATAAGGTTTGGATTAAATGCAGATCTAAAGGATTTTTGCAGCACATTAGCTATGAGGACAAGCCCCAATATTGCTCAGTTTGCCTACATTTGGGTCATAATGCACCTAGATGCCCTAAAATCAGCTAGTCAAGCAATAATCCTCACAGTCATAATATTATGGAGACAGTAATTCAACCAGAGGTAATCAAGCACAATCCTAAGCCTAAGAATAAGTGGGTTGAGAAAACTGGTAATAAACCTACTGAGCAGAGATTTACAGCTTTTGAAAAAGGTAAAGGAATTACAATCTGTGATACAGTCAAAAATACATCTACACAGGATGACAACAGGGTGATGAGCAAAGCTTTGATTATTTATGATCAACCTTCATCTTCCAAGCAACAACCTCTCATTACCAATGTTGTTGAAGATGATACGGATACTGAGGAGGTATACCATGAACCATTTCCTGGAACCATAGAGAAGACTGATAGCATATTAAACGAAGAAGAGACTAAGGAGCTTCTTAACAAGCCAGTCAAGGGTATTATACACAAAGCTATTGTTAGCTCACCTAAGGATGATGTTTTCCTTATTCCTATGAAACAACAGATGGAACATGATCCTGATTTGGTGGCTAAGAGCTACTACTCTGATGGAGAGACAGAAAACATCAAGGAACCTTTACTTAACTGGCAAGTGGATTGGCAGAACATAAAAGATAAGGTGGAAAACATGGCAAGACAGTTGGAGTTAAATGATAATCAATCTCAAGAAGACTCAAGGAATGAATCCCAGCCTGATAAGGATACTGAGTTTATCACAGTCAGGAGCAGAAAGAGCAAAAGAAGAGGCATACCTGATAGTGCTCCCAGGATTACAAGAAATGCTGCCAAAAAGATTGAAGGATTAGTTGTGTCAGGATCTGATATCCATATCAGTTCTGTGGCTTCCCATGATTTAACCAATCTTTCTAAATGAATTGTATTGTTTGGAATGTAAGGGGATTGGAATCTGCTGCAACCATGTTATGCTCTTTAATCAGGCAATGGCATATTCACATCCTAGCAGTTATTGAACCTCTGATTAATTCATCTAAAGCTGATTCTTTTAAGCAAAGTTTTGGTATGTCTAATGTTTTACACTCTTCTCAAAATAAGATTTGGATTTACTGGGACCCAGATCAGGTTACTCTTTCTGATATTTCCTGGCATTCACAATTTGTACATATGAAGGTTAGTAGAAATAGTTTTCATGACTGGCTTACAATGATCTATGGAAAGCATACACATTTGAGTAGAAGAAAATTATGGAATGAGTTGAATTCTACTTCTAACAATATGTCAGACCCTTGGCTACTCGGGGGTGATTTTAATGCAATTGCATCACACAGTGAACACAAAGGAAGAATATGTGGACTTATCATGCTACATTTCTAGACACTGTGAAGAAAAGCTGGGATAGCAATGATACCTATGGAGGCATGAGGGGTTTTGTCCATAAACTGAAACAATTAAAGTTGGATCTTAAGCTGTGGAATAGGGCTACCTTTGGAAATCTTTTTGAGGATATTAAAATTTGCGAAGACCATGTTATGAAAACTGAAAGACTCTTTGAAAGCTGTCCAAATGAAGAAAATAGAGAAAATTGGCAACATTTAAGAGCTCTATTGGCTGCTAAGCATAAATTGGAAAGAAAATATTGGAAGCAGAAGGCAAATATCAAATGGATCAAGGAAGGAGATGCTAACACAAGTTATTTTCATTCATATTGATGGATAGTCTACCCGGGGGTATATATCCGAAGGGTTATTACGGGGAATAACTTAGAGAGAAGTCAGAGCAAGTAAGTAAAAGTAGAGAGAGAGTGTATTCAGTATGAATGCCGTTTTCAGCGTGGTTACAAATGGGGAAATGGGGTGCTATTTATAGTAGCAATAAATGCCGGGCAGGGACACGTGTCAAGCGCTTATTGGCCGAGGGGTCACCTCAACTGGTTGGTGCTGGCAGCCGCATGTGGCCGCATTTAATGCGGCTGTTGGATGGGATGTCTGTGCGGGGTACGGTGATCTGTACGCATGTGAGGCGGATATCTTGTCGAGTGAGATGCCTTCGGCTATAGAGCAGCAGCCGAGGGCTCTTCCACCCGATGGCACCCTGGTGCCGAGGGCTCACAATGCCGAGGGCTACTGTTTTCGCCGTTTTCTCCCAGTTTCTTAATTTGCTTGAGAAACCCGTTCTGTGAGAATTTGGAGCCTTCGGCCAGGGGGCCGAAGGCACCCCTGGCGCGTAGTGCGGACTGCCTGGTACTCTGGGCGCTGTGATTTGGGCCTTTTGGGCCTTTTGGGCCTTCGCTGGAGTAGTATGAGTCTGTGGGCCGGGGGTTCCCGGGCCATATACTCCATCACATATGTTAAAATCAAGCACAGAAAACAATCTATCACTGCAATTACAAATAGCATGGGGAAGAAGTTACCAATCATGCTGATATTGGAGAAGCTGCCATAGCTTTTTTCTCAGATCTGTACTTTGTGGATCCATATATTGATGCATCTGAGATTCTGGAGTTTATTCCCCACCTAGTTTCAGAAGAAGATAACAATATGCTGATTAAATTACCAGATATGGATGAAGTCAAATCTGCAGTGTGGAAACTTGATCAAAACAGTGCTCCAGGCCCAGATGGCTTCAATGGGATTTTTTTAGAAAGTGTTGGCATATTATTGGTGATGATTTGGTAAGGGCTATTCAGGAATTTTTTATGGGCATTCCAATTCCTAAGGGGGTAGCAAGCAGCTTGTTGGTTTTGATTTCTAAGGTGGATAATCCATCTTCTTTTGGTGAATTCAGACCAATTTGTCTGTCTAACTTCATCAGCAAAGTGTGTACCAAAGTTCTTGCTGACAGGCTGTCATTTATTTTACCTAAGCTTATCTCACCTGAACAGATTGGTTTTATGCATAACAAGGATATTGTTGATCATGTTTTAATAGCCCAGGAAATGGTTCCTTCACTTGAGAAAAAGGTCAGAGGTTCAAATGTTTTAGTTAAACTTGACATGGCTAAGGCATTTGACAGATTATCTTGGAAATTTATTGAGGAAGTCCTGAATAAGTTTGGTTTTTCTAAAAGGTTCATTCAAATTATTTTGAATAACCTGAGAGCTACTTACATGTCTATTCT